AGGAGATTTATTTTGCATTTTGCTCAAAATTTGATAGGCTTTTGGCAAGTGTATGAAACAGTCATAGATTTGGCAGTCTTCTGCTAGCAGATTTGAAATGTTCAGTCCTTAAGAACTGCTGCATCGTTAGGTTATGCAAAACAGGGTGCAATTTTGTAAATATGCCATCTTGTACTGATTTGACATTTGTTCTATTATCCCAGAATATGCCAAAGGGAGAGAGACCTTCAGATTTAAGCCAAACCTTAACTTGTTTGTTGAGTGCTGATAAAATGTTGACTGCTGTGTGATCTTTAAAGAAGCCAGTGTTACTTGCTGAGGCCTGAGGTAGAGCCCCCTGTCGGGCTAAAGGGAGCTCTTTCCTTGGCATCTCATGGGGACAGTTGTTTGATAGGTGTGAACAAGTAAAACATCTGATATAGTCAGCTGAATTAATTTTTTCCCCTTAAATATTTTCTGTGCCCTCTGTCTTCTGTGGCATTAATGGTGCTTCTCCAAATAGCATCATTAATAGTATTTATAAGGCTTTGGTTTCAAGTGGGGGACTGCATAGAGAAGTCGGTACACCCCAGGTCATATGTCACTGAAGTACTGGGCCATCCATTAGACGAGTGGCTGTTTGTTCTTTCTGTAACAGCATAGAAATGGTAATGAGTTGTCTGGCTGTGGTGTGAAGGGACATGGGAATGTGACGATGAAGGGAATAGGCTTTCAAGTTAGATAGTCCTGTACTCAAATTCTAGTTCTAGCACTTCCTAGCTATATGAACTTGGTGAGGCTACTTAACCTTTCTGAACCTCAGTTTTCTCATCTGGATAATGGGAGCAATCAGATCTACCCTCAGGGTTATTAAAAAGGATTCAATGAGCTACCTATGCCTGCCACGAAATAGGCTTTCAAAACATGGTAGCTGCCAATATTATCCTCAGGAAGCAAATTGTCCTATGGATCCTGGATGACACAAGAGGTGGCTTAGAAATTGTTAGACCTTCTGTTTCTCACAGTCCTTCCCCACTCTTATCAGCTCTCTCTTTTATTTCAAAAATACAAAGATTTATTTGTTGGAAGGTAACTGCGGAACCAGCATGATCCAACGAGCAGCTACAGATGGTTCTTCTTGGGGCTTGCAGGAAAAGCTCCTTGCAGAGATGCTGTGGAATCGGCACTGCCACTGGACCAATCCTTCCCACTTTGCTTTGCCAGGCTGTTGCTGGCAGCGGGGCTCTCCGGAAGTTTCTAGCCTCAGGAGGGTGCCAACTGCACCACCATTGCATCCTTGCCCGTTTATCACTCTTAGCTTCCTTTTCAGTAGTTGGTGATAGACTATTCGGTGTCTAACTTAGTCATCCATTTCCTTTTTTATTCCTGTTTCCATCAACAGGCAAATGAGGATGATCCTATTTTGATGGGTGAAAATATCACCATTAAATTGTTTCTGATTGTTAATCATACCTTAAATGTATGCATGCATTTCTTTCCCTGGCTTTGGGTATTGACTTTTCATAGATTAAAGTGCACCATGCAGTGGACTTGCAAGACTGTTTCTTGACTGAGAAACCAGAAGGCTCAGTCTGGTAAGGAATGAAGGCAAGGTGACACAGCTGCATCTTTTTTGGGGGGTAAAAAATGTCCACAGCAGCCCGAGAGTCTTAAAGCGCGTGCGTGGTGCCTCGGGCTGCCGATCTCCCTTGCATAGCAAGGGTTGTCTTGACGCTTCTCCCAGTGAGCAGGGGAAAGTATGCTTTGTAAATGGACCACTTATCTTGCCGTTGCAGGAGAGGCTTTTGTTTTATTTTCCTCTTGCTGCATTAAAGTATTTGTCTTTCTTTCTTTGTAGTGTAATATTGTTAATGTAAAACAATTTGCATCATGACACTTTTATCACAGTTTTCGTCTTTTTCTCAGTATGTTGCATTTCTCACCATGTCTAGTTCATCACAGCTACAGTGTGTACATCACAACATTTATCTTAGGCTCAGGGTTTTACTTGTTTATAAAAATTGTCTTCTTTCAGCCTGTATTCACTCCATTTATGAAAAAAAAAAAAAAGGCAGCCAGAAACTGTTTTGGTCCAAACTCCAGTAGTTATCACATTCCTTGCTAACTGTCCTGTGTATTTATATGTCTCCTAACTATTATATGTTTCAGTGACATTTCTCAGTTTTATGGTTCCTGGAGGTTGCAGGAGCAGCTTTTGCTGTTCAAGCTGCCAAGCAAGGAGGGACTGTGAGGCTTTTGGAAGTGAGTGAGGTGACGCAGCTGTATATTTGGGTCAGGTCAAGGTATTCAAGTTGACTATCTCCCGCGAGCTAAGAGCTGGATTTAGTGCAGAGAGAAACGAGGTGGAGGACACAGCAGTGCGGTTGCCGCAGGCTGAGAGCAGGACGTGCAGAAAGGATCACCCAGGAGGAGTCTAACGGGGCACCCGGGCCTGGGGCTCAGGTTATTAATGTTCACTGTTGGGGTGCAAGTCCCAGCCTCTCCTGTCTCCAGCTCAGAATCCTGTACTGTCCTTCAGGGAGATTGATTTTGGCCCTTTTTTCCTCTCGGAAGGGCAGAAAATTGCTCAGGCTTCTCTGACGGCATTCGATGCTGCCTCGTTGGCGCAGTCAGAAATCACGCCTCGCATCTCTCTCAGGGCTGTGAGGACCGAGCTCTCTCTTCCAATTAATTCAGTCTAAGAAAGCCTGGGGATGCAGCAGCCAAAGGGTACCTAGTGTATCTGTGTACTACAAATCCCAGGACAGTTAATTAACAGTTTAGCTCTCGCTTCTCCATTGCTGGAAGACCTCATCACGAGCAGCATAGGAGGTACTAGGGTTCTGCTGTCAGACGTTGTGTCCAGCTCTGTCACTTCCCATAGAGGTAACCTGATGCCAGTTACTCACTTCTGAATCTCGTCTCCACGTAGAAAGCAGGATTGCCAGGTATCTCATGGGAATGTTGTAAGGATTAAATAGAAACAGTGCTCTTATAAATGCTTTATGATGCTTACCACAGTGACTGACGGAGTGAACACTCAATAAATGTTAGCTCCTAATAATGACATGGCATATGGCTTGAAAGTGGGCAAAACATAGCTCAGTAAATTTCAGAATGAGTCTATTTTATTTCACTTACCCCAGCTGTCCCCACTTGGCCTCTGCAAAATGAGGACCAAATACAGTGACTATTACAATATAAGCGCTTCAATTTCTTTCATTTATTCATTTGATTAATATTTAGCATGGTATTAGATGCTAAGAATATAGTGACAAACAACATACACAAAATCCTTTTCTCATGGATCTTATTGATTAGCGGGGTATGTCACAAATAAATATTGACTAGATAAAAAAATGAATGGATAGATGAATGAATGGGGTAATGTTGGGATGGATGGATTTATCTGGTACATCTCACTGGATAAAAAGTACCTAAAAGTGACTTTTAATGAATTCTAGATGTTTATACCTAAAGCTCATAGGTAAGTTCTCAGTTTGGGTCAGAGATGTAGTATAGTCAGGACAAGTGGGGACCAGCCTACACAGAGGTTGGGGGGCATCCGCTCTAACCTTTCCAGGACAATGTGACCTTGGGAGTGAGCCTCAGTCACCTGAAACACGTTGGGTGACTCTGTCCTGAAAGTTGTAGACAGAATGTCTTTTTTCCAGGAACAGTATGTTACAGCATTCTCACATCAGCATCAGCAATGTAATCTAAAAACAGAAAGAAAAAAAAAAGCCACATCTCTTGATTCCTATTCTTTTGATTCCTAAGAGGAATTATTCTCATTCCCATTTTACAGAAAATGAGGCCCAGTGCCCAGCTGGTCTCCGGGTGCACAGCTCACTGATATTGAAGCTGGACTAGAATACAAGCTCTCTGACCTCAGTCCCATCCAGCTTCCTGCCAGACCACCCGGGTTCCCATAAAAAATATTCAGCTGGTGTTAGCTACAAAGATTTCTGTAAAATACAGACCTTGGCTCTCACAAAGTTCACTTGGATTCGCCAAGATGCTGTGGGACTAGCTGGCTGATTTTAAACCTATAGGGACGCCACTCACCCTTCCCTTGCCCAATCCATCACAAGACAGTAGAAGCCGATTCCAGCTCATCCCCTTCCCAAGGCACTAACATGTATATGTGACATTTTTGTCTTCATCCCAATTTTCCTAAACAGCCCCCAAATAAGATCGGATAGCCAGTTCCATGCTTTCAAAGGCTTTTTCATTCAAGAACACCCACCTTCATTCTGGAAGTCCTATCTGACTGAGGCCACTAAGCCATCTTCAAAAATCTGACCTCCCAATTTTTGGTCCTGTTTTCCTCGGTGACTTGGGAACACCTTGATGCAATAGCAGCATTTCCCCCAATACAGAATGAGGCCGACGACAACCGCTGATCTCTTAGGGCCTCTCTTGACCTTTTGCCCCGCTTGCCCTTCCCATGTGTTACATTTGCTTAGGTTTTAAACCTCTGTTCCAAAAGAGGTATATTTGCTTCTCATTCAGAGCCTAGCAATGTGGACCAAAGTTCATATGACATATTGCAGAGTATGTTTCATTGCAAATACTATGTACAGGCTCTTTGAAATGTAGCATGTATGGCACCATGTGACACATGGTTGCCATGGCAATACACTTTTTGGCTGAACTACAGCGTAAGCCCATGGAACATACATTGCTAATATGAGACTCTGCCCTGTGCTAATGCATAGGACACAGCCAATATGGGACCTGGGACTCAAGGGGGCTTGCATGCAGCCTGGGTGGCAGGTACCCTCTTCCCACATGGGCAGGGGAGATGTGCATCCTCTCTTTCCAATCCCATCTCGCAGCACAGGGCACGCTATGCATTCTGCCATGCACGGAGACAGCATTTGCTTGAATATCGGTTTGCTATATTTTGTATCAAAGGGGGCCCCAGCTGAAAACATTTTATTTTGTAAACTGAAGTGAAAAATCAGTTTATGGCAGATCTTTTTTTGAATAATGACATTCTTTTTTCCCAATTCCAGAATTCAACAGTCATGAGCAGAGCTGAAAATTTTAAACTAGTTGAGTACCTCCTTATTCATGGAACAGCAGATGGTGAGTTTCAGTTAATTAGACTTTTTAGTATCACAGACAGGTTTGCAATTTCACTACTGACAAAACAAAAGCATGAGGGGCAAGACTGTTAGATTTACTTCAATAAAACAGTGTTGCTTTCCACAACTCACTTGTCTTGGGCTTAAATGGGATGCTGAGTCCTGGAACTTCAAATAGTCCTTTTCTTCTCGAGACTTCCCCATCCTTCCATATCAGAAACCGGGAGCGGCTATTAGTGACTTTACGTTTCCTCTCTCTCCCCCGCAGATAACGTTCATTTTCAGCAGTCGGCTCAGATCTCCAAAGCCCTGGTGGATGCTGGAGTGGATTTCCAGGCAATGGTATAGCGAAACTTTGTGGAAGGGGCGGGAACTTGCTGGGGAGGGCTCTGGTTTCGCCTCACAGAGGTCCCAGGAGACAGGGACGGAATTAAAAAAGGGCTTTTATGTTTCCAATGAGAAGTTGGGGAAGTTATATCCTTGAGCTATAGACGCAGTAACGTTCAATTATATCAGACTTGGGGATTGAGAAGCACAATGTGCATATCCTGGGAGTGTCAAAACACTGCTCTCCTAGTCATGTGATTGTTCAGTCTCTCCCTAGTTTAATTCAGAAGTAATCACTTACTCAGTAGATGTGTGGCAGAGCAATTCTAAAGTAAAACCAGCATGATAATAGCTCGATCCAAATATGAAAACCCATTTCTGTCTAGTATGTAATCCTAGCCATCCTAACAACAGTGGGATATTAATAATCAGAACGCTTCAGGGATTGCAATTGCCGTGCTATCTTTTGTTGAACAACCACAGGCAATAGACAGTTAGGCTTGCTTTATAAAGTCAGAAATGGCTGGAGCTGTTGTTGCCTATACAGAAAGAGGCTTCTAGGCATTAAGTCAAATTCACTTTCTGCACTAGACCTTTTCTGATTAAGAAAAAA